CAAATAGTTTATATTTCAAAACGCGTAAAGCAATGGTGGAATTAGCCAGTTCGATGAAATAGTTTTCTAAAATGTTTTTATTATGGCGAATCTGTTGTTAAAATTTGAATCGTAACATCTATTTACTCATTATATTGCTACTAAATAATTAATTTATTATTAACACTCTTATTTAAGTGGCTAATTGATTCTTAAAATTTTTAATCCCTTTATTCCTTTTTAAAGGGATTATTTTTTAATCCCTTTAATAATATTTATTAATATTTATTATTAATAAAGCTATTCTTTTTAAAAATATATTATGAAAGAATTCAGAGCATCAAATTACATTCAGTTTTTTACAAAACTATATATATATATATATATATATATATATATACCCTTTAAAACTAGAAAAATACTTGCTAAATAAACAGAAACATTTTGAGCTTAATTAGTAAGAAATTTTTCAATTTTATACACTTTTATTTAGCTCGGTTTCTTTTTTCGTTCGAGTGAAATTAATTTTAGACTCTTTCTCCTGAATTTTCGTGAAGCTTCGCATACAAATGTTTCTGTAATGATAAATCAACAAAATTTTACCATCATCAATGCTTCAAATTTCAGTGCAGTTTTTTTATTAATTTAATATTGAGTGCAATATTAATAATTTAAAATAAGTTGTCAATTTGTCCTACTTTTACACAGAAAATAATGACACTTTTTTTTTTTTTTTTTTTTAAATATTATGACCCCCGAACCGTGATGCAGGCCTCACATCTCCGGCACATAAAAGATCGCATCGAAGATGCATGACGCACAGTTCCTGCATCACAGTCCGGGTCGTAATTTCGAACACCTTTTTTTAATGACGGTCATCTGTTTTGCTTCTTATTTCTTGATTTCCGCTGCACTAATCATAAATTAACATCATTCTCACGCTGTTCGTGTCCTTCCTTTTTTGTGTTTTGTGCCGTGACTACCGCGGCAGGAGAGCGTTTCCGACTATGCAATTGCTGTGTAATCTATCATCTAAGTGTACTCTATATCTCTTGAAAGTCTGTAACCGATTTTCTGAAATCTATATATTCCATGGTAAAATCGGCAATGAGTAATTTATGTGATGGCTCCTTTTTTGAGTGCCAGCACAAAGTATCTTTTTGCGTTGCCCCCTTTTTCGAGTGCTTAATTATCTTTTTGTGATGCCCCTTTTCCTAAGCACGTGCTTATTTTGTTTAATGGCTAATCCAGCTCTACATGCGTCTAAACAAACTAATTAAAATTATCGCTTAAGTCTTCAATAAAAAATTAATTTACTACAGCTGCCATCTAAAGGCTTGGAAATTCAGAATACAGAATAATGATCAAGACTAAAGCTAATCTGTGTAAATTACCTGATCTACCAACCATGCCAAAAAAATCATTGCACATAGCAGTTGATCAGACCTTTTCCATTCTTGATATAGAAATAAGATTCCACAGGATTCCATTCTGGGTTACTTTTTAATATTTAATAAGGTGAGTGAATTAACAGTAGTAATAATTATAATTCTCAATAACAGCAATTTTGTATGATATGCTTATGAGATGCAGTACAGACATACCTCGGTATATGTCATTAATCTGTTCCAGATCATTTGACTAACGAATTTTTCCAGTAGGAAATATTTTATTAACTTGTGCAACACTTAATAAAAGCTTGCGATAATACATTTTGCATAAAGGCCATATTTGCAATCAAAAGCCTTTCTTGGTAGACTCCTACACTAAATGCAGAACGTAGTAAAATCCAGGCTTTGCGCAGAAGAGCACAAGCAACAACAGAGCAACCACTTAGAAGTCAACGCATGCTGGAATTTCGCAAGGCCAGGGCGCAATACAAGCGCAACATTACGGCAGCAAAACTTTCTTCTTGGATGCACTACTGTTCCACAGCAACGAAAACTTATGGTGTAGTGCAGAAAATAGCCTGCGACAAAGTACACTCATGTCCATAAATTAAGGATAATTCGGAGTCACGCAGAAATCGAACTCTAAAATAAATATATCACCTGTAAAATCACTACACACATCTTCAAGAATCATATGCAAATTTCCGGAAGTAACCAGATGACACCGATGGTACGTCACAATGACGAGAGTGTAAGAGAGTGATATATAAGGAATACAGGCAAAGAAGAAAATTGTTCGCAGGCGCTTTATAAGCATTTCAGTGCAATAACCGAATAGTTATTACACAAAGGAAGCATTTGGATGATTTTTTACGTGGTAGAATTATCGGCTATCTGGAATGTGGGAGTACCCAACTGGAAGTATCAGACGAACTTGGAATTGCCCAGAGTGTCATCTCCAGGCTTTGGCAACGATTCCAAGATGACAGTAATGTGAGTAGACGTTACAGCACAGGTCGTCCCAGAGTTACAACTCCGAATGAGGATCGGTATTTGGAAGTTACTGCCAAAAGAAACAGGTAGAGCACAGTCTCAGACTTGTCTCGTCAGCTCTCTTCAGCCACTGGTATGACAATTTCGAGGTAGACCGTGTACAGACGCTTAGGAAAGATTGGTCTATATGCTCGTAGACCTGTCAGATGCGTTCCACTTACTGCAACTCACTGTCGCCTGCGGTTAGCCTGGAGTAGAGAGCATGCATTGTGGACACCGCAACAGTGGGCTTGTGTGATGTTTTCCGACGCGTCCAGGTTTAGCTTGCAGTCTGATTCTTGCCGGACTTTCATTACGGTGGTGTAGGAGTGCTCGTTTGGGGTGGAATTATTCTGGGTTCCAGAACTGACCTGCATGTTCAAATTGGAACCATGACAAGCCAAATCTATCGGGACGCCACTCTGGAACAACAAGTACGTTTGTTTCGGGGCGCCATGGGCGCATAATTTGTGTTTATGAATGACGACGCCTGTCCTCACCGTGCAAACATCGTAAGCGAATGCCTTCAATCGGAGGATATCCCCGTATGGACTGGCCAGCATTCTCACCGGACTTGAATCCAGTAGAGCACGTGTGGGACATACTTGGCCGACGAGTTGCAGCCCGTCAACCTCCTCCTACATGTCTACCGGAACTTCAGAGAGCATTGCTTTTTGAGTGGTGTAATATCCCCCAAGATCAGATCGATAATTTGATACTCAGCATGCCTAGGCGTTGTACGGACTGTATTGCATCGTCTGGCAGACATACAATGTATTAACATTCATACCAACCATGTAATATTAGTTTTTTGTAAATAGGTGTTTTTTGTAATTTGCTCCAGGGAGAAAAAATCGCTAATTTTTTTAATAATATCAAACATATAGCATCTTTTTTCCTCTTTACCTTTTGTTTAATGAATAAGCTTTGCAAATAAGTCAAATTTGTTTTGCTTCTAACTTTTCCTTTGCCTGATTTTGCATTATCCTTAATTTATGGACATGAGTGTATTTCGACCAACAAAGCTGACAGCCTCACTCCTACCTTCTGCTAAGTCAGGTTCAGACGTGGCGAGACGAATTATGGACTGCATATTTCACACAGATAACAACGAAGATAGTTCGGCAGCACAAAGGCATGCAAGGCAGCTCTTCAACAAACGTAGATGATCAACAAAGCAAAGAAAAGAGACACTTCCCACAACATATGAGCTTAACCACATAATAAAATACTTAGCTCCTAAGAAAGCCCCTGGCTCAGATGGGTTAGATAATATGATTATCAAAATCATCTACCAGCATTTTCCTTCCTTACTACACTCCCTCTTCAATGCACGTTGGAGGCAACGTCCTTTTCCGCAAAGAATGAAAGTGGCAGAAGTAGCCCTCTTCTGCAAAAAAAGGGAAGGATCCAGGATATACCAAGATCATACCGGGCCCATCTTGTTTATTACCAGCCCTTGGAAAAGTGCTAGAACGTATCATCCTTATGAGGCTTAACCTCCACCTTGCAAACACTAATGCTTTGCATCCTAACCAGTATGGTTTTCGGGCCGGAACGTCAACTGAAAATGCATTGGGTGATCTAATGACAACGCTGTCAAATAATAAGAGCGCAGACATGCACTCCCTCATTATTTCCACTGGTATCCAGGCAGCATTCGACACCATCTGGTGGCCAGACATTATCAGCAGATTGTCCTCTCTTTCCTGCCCTGGTGTGATACTAGATCTCATTAGAAGTTACCTGGACAACAGAGAAGTACAGATCACGATGAATAATGACATCATCACCAAAAAAATTACTCGTGGCTGTCCTCAGGGTTCGTGCTTAGGTCCCACCCTGTGGAACTTAGTAGCAAACACTGCATTCCAGCGTTTCAGCAACCTTCACCAAGTCAAGATTCTGGCATACGCTGATGATTTCCTCATTGTTGTAGCGGGCCGCAGCGATATTCAACAAAGATCGCAGGATTGTCTAGATATCTTTGCTCAATGGGCCAAGGAACATAAACTTGAAATAAGTGCAGAAAAAACGCAAGCCATGATAATAGGACGCCGTCATCCCCTTAGGAGAAGAACCTATCTAAAACTACAGGGACATTCATTAAAAACAGTCTCAGAAATGACATACCTAGGTCTGCCCTTTGATAATAAGCTTTCATGGACTCCTCATCTTAAAATTCTCAGGCAGCGCACTGGCAATCTCACTAACAGTATGAAACGTACTGCAGGTATGAAATGGGGCATACCGGCAAATCTCCCGAAATCTTGGTACAAAACCATTTCAGAACACATTATTTTGTACGGAGCCTCTATCTGAGGCCAGAACCTCACTTCTACTATGAGAAAAACTTTGCTTTCCATATAAAGAAGTCAACTTCTGCTCATCTCTCGGGCCTATCGGACTTCTCCAACATCTGCTCTACAAGTCATTACGGGTCTTCCCCCTCTTGATCTTGTAGTCGAGAGGGAAGCCGCAGTGATAAAAGCTACAAGGTTTAATAAAAACATATCACTGTGGGGACAGAGCATAATCCACACAGACTATGAAAAATACAAATCTCGTTATCTTTGTCATCCAGCACAATTTGACCTAATGGACACCATCCATATAAACTCAGATTCTCCGGCGCAAAATGATCATGCATTGTATACTGATGGATCTAAGACAAAGGCTGACACAGGATGTGGATTCTGCGAATTGGATAAAGGCAGCATTATCTTCTCCTGGAAGCGAAGACTGAACGAAAGTAATTCAGTGTTTCAGGTAGAACTCATAGCCTTACACGCAGCAATCATCCACAGTCGTAAGAATGGCCTTAATCAAGTTCATATTTATACGGACTCCGCCTCAAGCCTCCAAGCACTTTCAAGCATGCACAGCAAAAGCCCTCTGGTTAACAAAATACAGAGAACTCTCCTTAGTATCCCTTTCGTCCCTTTTCGTCCTGTACTCTGTTGGGTGCCAGCGCACGTAGGAATACTAGGAAATGAAAGTGCAGACGTTGTGGCTAAAGAAGCTGCCAATAGTGCATCCTTACTTGAGTGACCAACAACACTTCCAACCTCGCTGCTAAAGCATTCCACATGCAAACTTCTTATAAGACAGTGGCAAACCCGCTGGAATGATGCTACAACGGATCGACGTACACATGCAATGCTCCCAAGTGTAAGCATGGATCTGCAGAGCAAAACTGGCAGCATGTCACATTTCCTAACAGGACATGGACCATACAAAGCCTATCTGCATAGGTTTGGTCTATCCAACACAGACATCTGCGATTGTGGGAAAGTGAGCAGTCCAGACCACTATTACTTTGAATGCCGCTTGACGGCGAAGTTCCATCTAAAAAAACCAGCACCATGTTTCACGCAGCGTGGTGGAATAATATTCAAAATAACAATGTTGCTCTATCGAAACGTCGATCCACGTGTGCTGACGTCACTCTGACTGCACCTGCACACCTCCTTCTTCCCACATTTCCTTGTTCCACCCATGTTCGCTATAGCCGATTCACCATGCTTGCATCCATGTGGGTATCAGCTGCAATTTGACGTAAGGACCAACCCGCCCTTCTCAGTCCGGTCACCATACCCCTCGTAAAATCGTCTACCTGCTGGAAGTGCCTTCGTTGACGGCGGCCTGGCATTCTCTCCTATTACACGTATCCTCCTGGAAAAAACCAACTTTCTTCGATAATTCGTCTGGCAGAAATAACGACACGATTGTCATTGCCTTCCTTCCTGTATTACTTCATGTGCTCGAGGCGCGCATTTAATTTCAATAACCATGCGTGCGTCCCTAAATTGAAAATTCGACAGCGTCTGTGTGATTTAATGTGAGCATGTATTTATCCCCAGGAAAGATGCCTGTACGAAGGCGAAGCGTTTCACTTGTTTCAGGTCGTAAATCAATCAACAAGTAGCTAAATGGAGTTGAAGTAGCATCCTGAAAAATTTCTTGAAAGGCCTTTACTTTTCCGGGGAACATTTGTCTAGCTAAATGCATAATTTGACTTTTATCTCTAGGATTTTTGTATAGGACAAGGTAATGGGAATTTAAATGAATATTTCTCATCTCCTTGCCTTGGTGAAAAAGATTTTGTGTTATAAAAACGACTGAAAGGTTTCGGTGATGACTTCCTTTGTAAAAAGTTTGCTTAAGCGAGTATCACTTGCTAATTCAGACATTAAATCGTCTAAATCGTCTATGTCTATAATTAAAGCATTTTAAAGCATTTTGTGAGTCTGCAGATTAGATGGTAATCCTTCTTCAAAATTTACATTTTTCATGGAATTAAAAAGAGGTTGATAACTTCCGTAACAATAAATAATATTAGCCAGCATGGGATGGAACATTTTATGATCCATCAATTTCTTCACAAAAACCGTTTCATCCGAACCGTTAGGTCCGCTCAGAAGACAAGTAAAAGGATCTACTAACTTGGGCAGTTTCATCTTCTGAAATGACAGCATGTTAAGAAAACATTGGTTTTTATACTTTACGGAAAATCTTTAAACAACCTTTAAGTGTATTGCCAACAAGGAGAAATTATGAATTTTGTTTAAATATATTTAGAAAGAGTACAAAGAAATACAAGAGACATTTTTTTTTTCTCCAAATTACAACAACTTCATTTTTTAAAAATCACGTTTACACCATATCTTTTTTTGACAAATTGAAATATTTGGAAATCATAATTCTTTCCAGCTAAGGGTGATACAATGAGTTCCGTACAGAGTCCTTGACATCGTTTAATCATACAATAAATACAATAATGTCCACATACATTAGAAGTTAAACTCTGAAGCGATATCTTGTTCTAGCAAACATGACGATATTTCTTGACAAAGGATGTGATATCTTTTCCATATACTTCAGGCGGGAGTCCATAAGAGTCAAAAAATTCCAGAGTCTGTTTGTCTGCAATGTAGACAGCTAGCCAATGAGTTCCTTTTTCATCATGTTTATCCGTATTGAGCACCAGTGCACAGGGAAAACTTTGAATCGCAGGTATTTTATCACAAGGAAAAACACCCGCATAATATCTCAAAGAAATAGGATCTCGAGATAAGATTTGATGAATCTGTGATGAATTCATCAGTTTCCAAAATCGTACAGAATATTTCGAGCTTTATTGATTTCTATCAAATTTTCAAATTCAGCGTACACTAATAACGAAACAGTTTGTTGTAAGGGAGTCCCAAATTTTATTTCTAATCTTAAGTTGCTGTGTCGAACTAGATTTAAATGAGAGCCATCACAAAGGTCAGGTGACAGGTCGAAGCGAAATAAGGAATATCCTTTTGAAAATTCTGATCTTGAAAGGTAAAGTCCTCTGTCGTCTGCATTCATAAATAAATTCTGATAAGCTCGTATGAAATGATTTTTGTCAAAATTAGGCTGAAGAGGATTATGAGGTACCGGTTGACCGTCCACATAAACGCCGATAAAGTTCATATTATAATGCTTGAATTCAAAAGGAGACTTTTTATAGTTTCCGTTAAAGGCATCATTATCGACACATGCCACCACAATACGATTAGGCATTTGACCTATGAAAATATTGTCTTGAATAAAACTCATATTTCCCGTTGGAATGGAATAGGCTTTGCAGAGCACTCTATTAATGGGATATTTGGCTGTTGGCTGTTGATTTTTCTAGGCTTTTGGCATGTCCTAGCACAACACCTGGACTGACTCTCACTTTTCTTACAAACAATGAAGCTTGTTCGAGTAAAACTTTAAATTCACCTTCGCCCAATAAACAAAATTCTGGTTTGCTGCGTATGAGTTTAATTTTCATATCCACCATATTCAGCAAAAGTCTTTCCTGATGAAACATATCCAAGTGCAATCGGCCAATCATATCGACCGAGGCACTCAGTTTAAACAATTCTGCTCTCGTTGGTTGAATCCTTCATTCGGCTGAGTGTCTTGAATATCAAAAACGTTCATACGTCCTGCTGTATCTTTGAAAAACAATTCTGATGACAGTTGAGACGTTTTCGTATCAAAACCATGATTCAATAATTTTTCTATCATGGCTCTGTAAGGATACGTGTTATTACTGGTGGAAACGAGTCTTTCATTTAAGCTAATATCCACTTGAGAAAACATAGAATGTAAAAAGAGATTGACAGGTCCCACTTTACTTTCAGCCGTGATTGGCTTGCCATCATTTTTTAAAATTTTCACTTTGACGTAGAGTTGTGTCTGTGATAAGTCTAGGTAGTCGTCTCCGCTTCCAGAAACATTGAACTCGACAGGACTTCCTTCCGATACATTGGCTAATGGATGAAATTCAACCCACTGACCTTTTTCGATAACTGTTTGTGTGGGAGGTAACGAAAATAAATCCAATTCGGATTTTGCGCATTCCGGAGAATCTTTTAACAGAAAAGCCATTACGAGTCAAAAATATCACGTCGTTGCACCTTCCTGGCTTTAGACGAAATGAAGTGTTTGGGGGTTTTGCGCTTCCTTTTAAACCTTCCGTGACCAATCATCTCGTCTGCTTTCTGAACTGCTTTCCTCGCTAATTTTTTGCCAGCTTCTTTAGATCTGGTTTTGAGGGAGACTTTAAAATTTTCTCCCGACAATACGTCGTTTGCAATTTGTGTTCCAGTCCGCAAAGCTTCTTTTCCAACTGTTTTGGCTCCACTCATCAAAAAAGGCATAGCACTGCGAAACAGCTTTGCAAAAAATCCACCAATACCATAACCTTTCTGTAAAATGGTTCCTTGATAGTAAGGTAATCCATTTCCAGTTTGAGCTAAATAATAATCTTCAAATTTTTTCGTGCAACACGTATAAGGCACCCGCATGTTTGATGCTTCTAATCTTGCATACACAATCCAAATGAAATCAATTTGCAGATGAAGGCTTCTTTTATAGAATTTGTCTCAGACGAAAATGCAACACAAGAAATACTTTGCCTCTTTCGAATGGTACTAAATCTCCAGAGTGAAGTCTTATGTCAATATGTATAGTCTGAAAATGTTGACGGATAACTGGCAAGTAAAAGGGCCGGGGGTAATGAGCGTTTATGATGTCTCCGTCATTTCCTTCTACGGTGACAATTTTTAACAACGGGGCTTGTACATCTCCCACAATTTGAGGCTTCTACGAGATCGCAATACACATACATGACAGGAAAAGATACTTTTGGGATCGGCTACAAAAGGACTTTGTTCCAATCCTTTGTAAACACCCGGCTCGAACCCTAGAAGCTCAGCTAATCCTTCGTGAAGAATGACTTTGCAGTTTTCGTCGGTCTTAATCTTAATGGTCACTTTTTTCGTGAACAGGATGATAACTGAATTCAATCTTATTTTTATGGGAAGGTATTTTCATGGCTTTTAATAAATCTGGTATCGTTTCATAACATCCTGGATGCACTCTTCGACCTTCCAGTTTTCCATCACCCAAATCAAATCCAAATAAATTATTGTCTTTTCGGACGTTATACCATGTGTGAGGGTAAATAAAGTTCACAAGAGATAACTGCCACTGATTATTTAAATCAATCGGAGTAGGATGTTGAGTGGTAAATTGTGATATTTTGTTGTAAAAAAACGCATGGAGCTGTGATCAAGAAAGACATGTTTCGTTCAAATGACAGGTAAGCAGAATGTACGGGTCTTTTATATCCTTCTAACATCATCCACCCAAGCATTGAATCTTTCGGGGTACCCCTGAAATTTCACAAAATATTCTATTTTCCCGCTTTCCCGCGACGTTTCCTCTTTTTTAAAACTTTTTCAACGGGATAATAACCAGAGTCCGAAACCTTTTGAAGTTCTTGTTTGTAAAAAGTTCCTTGTATAACTTCTCCTGCTAGATCTTTCAGTTTATAGACAACAGGAATCCGTCGAATAATTTTATAGATTGTAAAAATTTCTCTTGTCCAGTTTTGTTCGTATCCTTTCTCAAAGAGCATTTTTTCTCGGCTGATGCGTACCGTATCTCCAATCTTTAAATCTGAAGAAACAGGGTTTTGTACTGGTTGCTGACCGTACAACGTTTTCCAGATTTTTTTCTTGATTTTGTAATGTAACGGATACAGGATTCAGGTTCTGTCTTACGATGCCATGTATGGTTATAACTGGATATCAATTTATCAATCACATCAATGTACTTTCGTGTATTCATTTCGGTAAAGTATTTCCACATTTTTGTTTTTAGAGTTCGATTAAATCGTTCTACGACAGAAGCTTTGGTTGTATTATGTGTCGTGAAAAAGCGAACGTTTCTCTTTTTCAAAAAATTTTGAACTTGTTTATTGGTAAACTCTTTCCCTGCATCTGTTTGTAATGATTCGGGTGTACGTTCCGAAAATATCTTTTCGAAAGCGGATTGGATGGACACAGATGTTTTATCTTTGAGAGGGATAGCCCAAGCGTATTTCGAAAGGATATCTATACAGGTCAGCAAATATTATATCCATCATTAAAAGACGCCAGGGATTGCATATCTACTAAATCAGATAGAAATTGCTCGTTTAAGCCTCCTACGATGACTCTGTTCTTGGGAAACTTGTGCCTCAGAGGCTTGTGCAAAGTATAAGAATCCTTGGTTTGCAACCATTTCTGGATGTCTTTTGTTTTTACGCGACCGACCTTTTAAAGCACGATGCAAAGCAGCAACACCCCCGAAACTTGCGGGGACCTGTGGATCCCGATAGGTCTGAGACAGAGCTGCGTTCATTGCAACAGTTGTTATGATCTAAACGTACACTGATATTCATTATTTATATATTTAACTAGAACAGGAAAATAATACCCTAGTTTCACGTATATAAAGATTTTAGAAAATAGGTCTAAACAAGACAAGAGAAAATGAATGCTTACTTAACATCTCAAAGGTTGAACAAGTAATGATATATATGTTTAAGAACAACCATATTTATACTCTATAAAAATCAATAGGTTTGTATTCAAAATAGGTATTTTTAAAAAATTATGTAAGTAATCATTACAGATTAATTCTTTTAAATAAGGTCTGAACCTGGAGACAGTCATGAGATCGTTGTAAAATAAAATAACATTTATTGAGCATCCTAATTATTTTACAAATATTCATAGTATTCAATACCTAAGACGCCATTCGTAGTACAAAATGTATTTCTTACTTCGTCGAGTACATGGTTTAAACACACAGATTTTAAAAAGTCCTTGGTAATGTAGTGAGCAGGTTTCAGTAACATTAAATGGGGTTCTTCACCCAAAATCTTTCCGCAAAATTGTCTGGGAATGTCAACAGCAGTGAATCTCAGAGCAATGGCATTCACAGTTTAAGTTTTATGAACAAGTTATTCACAGTCTATGAGCTAGGGGTATTTTAGTTCATGTTGGTTAAGAAGTTCTTCAAGCGACGTCTTTACAATGGTTTGGATGCGTGCTCATCCTATAGAAATGTCAAAGGATTGGGGCATATTTTCCTCCTTAACAGGATATGCTTTCGTAGGCTTCACAAAAGTTCATGTTTTGATAAACGAGGTTGGTGACAATGTCGCTCATACGGCTAAAGTTGGCCATCAGTTTTTCCCACTGCGTAGTTGTAATGCTGAGGCTACTTTTTTTCATCTCCTTGAGCAGAAAATTGTTTCAGAGTGAAGTGGGAATCCCTATACGTGACCACAAAGTTCTTGGGCAACTTCAGATTGAGTGTCAGTAGGTCTTGTTCGTCTACTGTCATGTTGGTTGCGAGAACATTCAAACACCATGGTTCAAAATTCCCTCCTCGTCTTGTCAGATAGTAAGCTTTATCATACTTGGCATACTCTCGCATGTGCACAATCACTTTTCCCTTGTAAATGCTGGGTCCCACAAAAACATTGTTTCCCATGTGAGTGAACTACTCTGAAATAGCGTCTTCAGTAAAAAGGTCCTTTGGGAAAAAAAAAAAAATCAGCTTGTATATAATACAATAAAAAATAGGGTCACACCCAATATAAACTTTTCGTAAATACGTACTTTTTTCTCGAAATGCGTTGTTTCTTCTGATTATCTTTTGGCACAAATTCCCAAGAGTCTGATTCTCTTGGAATATCTTGGGTGCGAACAAGGTCTCCATGGCTCAACACTTTATCATTCGAGGGCATATGTTCGTTCTCAAATAGGTTTTTCATCTGAAAAAGTAAAGGCAAATCAAGCACACATTGCAAATTCAACAATTTTTAAAGATTAAAATTCTAAAAGCAGTATATTTTCAAAACGTTACTTACCTCTGGTGCGCTGTTTTGTGGCTGACCCATTCAAAGCAGCGAAGAATCAAAAATCTTAATGATAGACGGTGGTCGAAGAGAAAGCAGGTACATACATTGACTGAAAGCAAGGAAAGAAATGCGGAACGTTTCTCGGGATAGCCTTATATCGGGCAGTAACTCTTTATGTCATCTAAATGGTGATTGGCTAAGAGGCGATGAGGTCATATTTCAAAGAATCTGATTGGTCCACAGAAATGTATCCATACACCTAAGCGAAGGCATTAAATGTGTGATACGGCAGACGCTATTTTGTAAGACAACATGCCGAAACAAGAAATGGATTCCAAACATATGGTTCAAGAGCACAAAAAAAAAAAAAAAAAAAAAAAAAAAAAAAAAATGTTGCCACAGAAAAATAAAAACGTTAAAAAACAGGGTCGTTGCCACACAATGAAAACGAAATTATGCATGACGTCTACGTCATTCAATACACCTACGTCACTTCCGATTGTCACGTGATCCCAAATGGCGACAGCGGCACATCAAAGCCCTCGGTTGCGTCATCTGTTGTTCTATTACGTCGTGGCGGCATCCTTTGGCCGCCCCCTTATTACTAATAATGTAATTTCACGTTTAAAAGTTATATGTAAAGAATGTATAGCTCACCTCCAGATCTGTGATCGGCTTACAGATTTTAACTGCTTTCAGCGTAAAAAGAAAGAACATACTGCAGAAATGTACTATAAGAAGAAAATTATGTATTTTCAATGTGGAAAATCTGGACATGTAAAGCGTTTTTATTGATTGAAATCAATAAGAAGAAGAATCATTAGTTTTGCCAGCCATTTACTTCAGGTGATTAACTTACTGAAGTTCAAGTTTTATTATTCACTTCAGAGCAATTTCTCATATGTATTTAAGTAAAGAATGATTTCCTTCATTCACTCCCAAGTCAGGGAATGTGAAATGAACTTCGCGTTCATCTACTTTAAATGTGCAAGGCGTAAACCAAATTTCTGGAAAAACATCCGGTGTCATTCAAATAACTCTAAAAAATGTGCTTTTTATACTAGATTTGGTGCGAAATATTGAAGCCGCACGCTTCAGTGTGAGTTTTAAGGATCAAAAAGTGTTTATTGTTAACAAAAGAAATAACATACGTTTTGGCTATCGTGACAATCATGGTGAATATATCACTAGTTTTGTGCTTAATTATGGATATATCAGTGGTTTTGTGGTTATTATGAAGTACCGTTAAAAAGAGAGTGATAGTAATTTGTGGCATCATAGACTGGGTTATTGTTCCAGTTTTGTACTCAAGAAACTCAGACTTTCGAACTCGAAACTGTTTTGCTAAGTTTGTACTTATGTCAGAGTGATACGCCTTTGGAAAAGAGGACAAAGCGCAGAGAGACAAAACCAATAATTATCATACATGCAGATGTATACAGTCCAGGTACGCCAGCTACTGCAGAAGCTAGTTAAAAAATTACTTCGTGACCATTATTGATAGTTTGTCACATTTTACTAAAATTCGGCTGCTGAAAAGAAAAAGTGATGTGGCAGACGAAGCGAAAGCTTTCCTGATGTCGAATCCTTCGGTAAGGAAAATTATATGCGACAATGCCAAAGAATATTTAAGCAAAGAACTAGTAGAATTTGCTTCTAAACTTGGAGTTATAATTGATGTAGCTCTTACACATACATCACCATTAAACAGTATTGCGGAACGAGCTAACCGAACCCTGCTGGGAAAAGGTAGGACACTGATTTTTGAATCAAAACTTCCATTCTATCATTGGGGAGATGTCGTGTTAACCTCGGCTTACCTTTATAATAGAACTCCTGATAGCTCTTTTGAGAACTATGCATCCTACAGCTTAAAACACGTTAAAAGACCCTGATTTGAAAAATATTCGCATATTTGGTCGTGATACCTATACGTTGATAATCGAAGAAAATCATCATACGTTGATCATCGAAATACTCTATAATTTGACCAAGTCAAAAAAATACTATTCATTGTATATAGTTTGATGGATCCAATGACACACACATTGTGGTATCCAGAAATGTCAAGTTTAATGAAGAAAGATGATAGAAGTTTGTTTCTCAGAATCTAAACTTTTCTGAAAATGAAGATTGTGACATGGATGATACAAAGAAAAGCATTCCAAAGATATGAGATGTGGATATGCCATGTAGCGAGAAAATGGAACATGACAGACCATCAACAAAAAGAATGCTGCTAATTAGATATCATGAGCCAGAAGTATACAGAGCCATGATTCCTAATTGTCCTAGGAAAACACATCGCTGTTACCGGAAGATAAACACTTGATAGATGAAAGAAGGCCATGGATTAAGAAATGCATAGTGTGAAAGACAACAATGTTTGGGTTCTTGGAAAATTATAATTTAAAAGGTTATGATGACTACAGTAATAGAAAGTATAGAGTTTATATGGAAAACAATCATCTCAACAGCGGTAAAAAATTTCTCTTCATAGTAAAATTATGCTTCAAGTAATCGGAAAGTAAGCCTTCTATTTTTATTCGCCAAAAGAGCGGCTCAATGGTAATTATTGCTGTTTATGTGAATTTGATTTAATTATTGAATCGTTAACTAAAGAATTTAAGGTTTCAAAATTTGGACAAGTTTCTGAATTTCTAGGAATGGGAATAGAGCTCACGCAAAATAAATTATTTTTAGATCAAGAATCCCTACATTTTGCAGTTACTGAAAAAGTTCAACATGTTGGACTGCAAAGAGTAATCTATTCCGATGGAACCTAAATTTACGCCAACTGATAAAAAAAAAAAAAAAAAAAAAAAAAAAAAAAAAAAAGGTTCTACACGTGAAAAACCTTATTGAGGAACTAGTTGGTTCCTTATTATATCTAGCTTATATGATTAGACATTTTATATACAGTGAATTGTTTAAGCCCAATTGCAAGAAAATCCTATTGAATCCACATGATGTGCTATTATGCGAATTCTTCGCTATCTGAAAGGCTGCAGACTGGAATCTATAGAATTTGTCATCATGCATGCAGATCTTTGTACATAGATGCCTAATCTATTATTGGGGGGGGGCAACCCTAATAACAGAAAATCAATTTCTGACTATGTTTTCATTTTAAATGATTAGCTTTTACTATGGTGTAGAAAACAACTTTATGTAGCTTTATCCTCAAAGGAAGCTAATATGCAAAAAACCTTAGCAAAAGGTGTTCAAGATTTATTATGGTTGAAATCAGTAGTTAGTGATATCATTAATATTAAGAGTATTGCAGTGTTTGAGAATAACCGATGCATACTTAAAAAAATGATTCAGGTAAGTTAAAACACATAGATATTAAACTTTAATTTATTTGTGTGTAAAAGCCCATAATAGCAAAAGTGAGTTTACCTGTTCACGTATACAAATTGCTGACATGTTAATTATCAAGTGTAAACGGGATGAACATATACTTTTGTACAGTCAAAAGTCGTTAATTCGGACACCAATAATCCGGACCTCAAAGCTAAAAACTTTCTGCGCATGCGCCGCGTTGGCACATGCGTTTTACGCGTGCGCGTAAGACCTTGACTACTGCGCGTATGCGTGTGCGCAAGTGCAGAATACGTTTTCGCCTGCGCGTTTAATGTATAACGGACGGTATAAGCTAAAATTATCTAATTATCTATTTCAGTTAATGTTAATGATTGCGTTGTTCCTTAATCTTCGAATTGGATCGCGCTTATTATTTTTTGCAGACTGTAAGAGCAATTTTATAAAAGTAAACTTGAACTTTCGATTATGTCAAATAGAATTTCCGATGCTGGAACTTTTAAAGGATCTACAAAACGAAAGTATGTTTCGATATCCATCAAACAAAAAGTGGAATTGCTGCAAAAAATGGATAAAGACATGAAGAATGTGACAGAGAGGTTAGTGAAAACGAAAAAATTTCGATTGACAAGTTAGTCGGTATTCTCGGCACAGCAATTAACGGGACTTGAACAGCGGAACTTTGTAACTGAACAAGAAATTATGTCTGTTTGTAGAATTAAAGAGAAAATATTATCACATAAAACGAAGCAACTTAAACAACTTACATTGAAAGAAATGTTTAATAAAGTAAATAAATATTAAGCTTTTTTTTTTTTTTTTTTTTGTAAATTTTGATACCCTTTAGATCATAATTGTTCTTTATTTCATAAATTACGGTTTTATATTTTTAAATTTAGAATTTCTGCATGCCATCTTACGAAATTTAAACTGATGATCTATAATCCGGAAAAATCGGTAATCCGGAATCGCCGAAGTCCCGATGAGTCCGGATTAACGACTTTTGACTGTATTGTTTAATTTAGTTTTTGAATATTTAAAGGATGTTGTTATGGACATAATTGCACACTCATTATTTTCTATGTTTATAGTATAATTTCATATTTTAAAGTTATATGTAAAGCATGTGTAGCTCATCTCCCAGTCTGTGATATTAACCAATACTGACAGTGGATTGAGTGAGCTATGCATATATAAATTAGGATATATTTAGTCTTGTAATTTTGAATTTGTAGAGTGCCCAGTCATGTATCTAGTTACGTTGTGGTTAAGTGCTTAGTTGCTATAATTTGCTGTCAGTAATATTATTTATGTTGAATTATTTTTTTTTTATGATATCTATATAAGTCTTTATTTTTGGTTCAATGAAACATATGAAGTTATTTATCTCAGAACAGATCTAAATATCCTAAATTGTAAAATTAATTATCTAGATCAATTTTTATAATAAAGGAGTCAAATAATTGGTTTAATTTTCTAAAATAAAAACAACCCTTTTCTGACTATAAGGACTAAAAGACCATACAAAAAGTTAGATTTCTTAAATGAATTTTTACAAAATCAATTTTCTGAATTGAAAAATACCAAATGCTAAAACATTTGTATTACTTAAAAACATTTTCATAAATGGAAATGTCTATGACCAGTGGTGGCAAAAATTAAGGCTGCATGAGGATTTTTTTGGACACGGTGTATCTTTATCCATTAATTCAGTTTCTGCAGTTTATCACTTAATAAAAAATACATGATTTATAAGTTATAAAACAGAAAGTGTGAATATGTGGGGAAATATAATACATGAAATGATTTTCATAGGGCAGTTTAGTCTTTGAGCACAAAATGCATGTGTAATTCAGCCCGATGCTTCATTGTTTATTCAATGCCATGATGGAAAACATTATTTTTATTACATTTCCATTCCTTGAAACCGTTTATGCTATTACACAGCATTTCAACATTGTCGTATTGAATATTGAGCTAAAACATCAGAATCAATTGTTTTCTTATTTATGATACACACAAAGAGGGGGGAAATAAGGAAGTACATTTTCTGTGATAGGATAAACATAAGGAAGTAGATTTGTTGTGACATAATTTCACTCATCTGATGAATCAAGACCATGAATTTTACAAAATAATAGGATAAACATAAGGAAGTAGATTTGTCGTGACATAATTTCACTCATCTGATGAATCAAGACCATGAATTTTACAATGGCCAATAATTAAAGGTTATGCCTGTCGTCGTCTTAAACCTTGAGCCCTTTAAAGATGACAGTACTACTTTTCCTGATTCCATCACAATTTTGAAGGAGTATCCCCTGAAAAATGAGTCCAAAGGTCTTCCAGCCCTCTTCTCTAACCAGCAAGCTACTCAAAAGGACTTTTGGCTCGACAGTTCTTTATGTGCACCATGCTGTCATGTACATCCATGTCTTTTCCCGATTTTGAATTCAGGCTTAAAGCTATGGCAGCTAGCTATCCTACCACTATGCCAACAGGGTGGTCGGAAGTACAATTCTCACAAGTCGCTGTAAATGTATAATGCAGCATACAGCAAATTTTATTATTATTATATTTAACATTAGCAATGATTAACTACAGTTAACCCTCATTAGCACAAATCTAAAGGGACCGATCAAGAGTTCGTGTTACCTGGTAATAAGATTTTATTTTCAGAATCGTTTTCCCTATACATTAACCATTTACAGTGTGTTATTATATAAATATTATAATATATTATGTATGTTGTCCTAGAAAACACTACAGTACTACATTAATTACTGTACTGTAATGTGAACAACTGTATTTGCAGTTTTTTTTTTTTTTTTTTTTTTCTTGGTGAAAAAATTCCTGCATATTGCGCTGTCACAGATGGGAACCAAAATTCCTGGCAACTCCATGGTCAAATGTACTAATGGTCAATTTGAATGTTGCTGTCACTGCTAAGCCAGCCTTTCAGTAGTTTTCATCCCTTATAAACTGATGTGAACTTAACACTGAAATAAACTAGAGAGACAGTAAAGTCAATAATGAATGGAAGCAGAAATGAGCACTGCTTACCATATTTGTAATTAATCTCCTTCTATTATTTAAATCCTTTATAAATACTAATAAAAACTTTTTTTTTTTTTTTTTAATCTAAAGGAATTTTGTTATATCAAGGAAGTCCCTATTTTAGACTGGATTAATGAGTTCTTTTATCTGAATTCTTGTTTCAGCGATCCACCATGAAGAAGAAAAAAGGTAAGTTTTACCTTTTCCCATAGTTGCAGCAAAACATCCAAGTGTCCAAGGTGTGCAACACTGACGGGTGGGGGGAATGATATTGTCCTCCTTACTTTCTTCTGATGACATTTCTTCCACCTCAGACAAAACAACTTGTACATCAGATTCTACTGCAGCACACATGGCAACATCATCATCTGCACTCGCAAAATTCCTCAAAACTAATACCAGTGTTTGCAACATCTTTTGCTGAATATTTCATTTATTAGGTGAAGTAATATTGTTGTCGTCACCTAACTGATCAATGGGATTGGCGTCTTTATGACTCAGGCTCTGCTAAAATGGTTCTATATGCATTTCCAGAGTGTGACGATAACTTTTATCGCATCAAGCACAGTCAAAGTAGACAATTCCATCTCCTTTTCAGCAGTGCAAACCACAGCTCTCACAAGTCACTCGCAATAAGACCTCTTCATAAAGGCAATAATGTCTTGGTCCAATGATTGAAGACCAGTTGTTGCATAGGGGGGCAGAAAGTGGGCCTTTTACATTGGCTAAGTTGAAAATTTTTTAAAGATCATGTTAAATGAAAGCCTAATGATGCAACACTCTAGAAAACAGTTTGTAATTCGTGCTAACTGAAATTCTCATTATTTTCTATGAGGTCATGTGCTTCACTGATGGGACCAAAACTTTATTCATGTTAACCAAGTGTTTGCCTTCAGCGAGTTCACTTAAAGAGAGGTTACTGTACGTGCAAGTTACCAATTAAACATTAACTTATTTAATTATATTGTTATGAATTTTGTATAAGAGAACATAATATTAGTGAAATTATATGCAGAATTGTAGTATCTTTTGTATAATGCAACATGAAACATTTAAAGAGATGGAGCTGTGTTGGAAAAATAAGATTATGGGAGAAAGTCAATTTAACATTGAGGTAAATGACTATCTCACTAAATTGGTGAGATATTGCCATGGTAGCGATGGTTTTGGCATCAAACTTGCTGAACCTCTAAGATATCCAAGAGGGGATTCACAATATTTATGTATATTTTTATATTCAATAAAGATAACAACAACTAAAAAGTAGGTGATATAATAATGTTTAATTGTAGGTATACAAAATAAAAAAAATTATAGGTAAAATTATCTAAAATTAAAAAAGCTTCTAAAATAAAAAAAAAGAAAGTTTTAATGAATTTTTTATTAATAATATTGAAATCATATACTATATTTCTCTTCTCTCTTTACTAATTTTATTGTTCAAAAACCGAGAATGGAAACTTATGAGAGTAATTTAAATTCTGAAGGATGCAGTTACAGTAATAGAACATAATGAACAGCAGCCATGTATATTCTACAGTAAACTATCCCAATATTATTTCTTTAAAAGAAAACCTATATTGTAATAAGAATATATAGCAATATTAACAATACAACATCTAATAAGATATCTTCAGTTCTACTTCTCTATAAATTGAACCACACTGGTCTTTATTGTCATCTCTTTGGGCCTCTAGTTATCCAAAAATAATTAGAGAAGATGAATGTCCAGCTGACTCAGCAAAATCGTACACTGAATTGTCAGTTCATATTTGCTTTGCTATGATGGATCCATTCTTGCATTAGGCTGGCATAAAATTCAACAGTTAGAAAAGAAAGGTTCATCATGACAAGTAGTTTGGGAAGCTTTGTTTATAACATGAAGACAATCACTACATGACCAAATCCCTTTTAAAATTTAAGGAAGCTCATTCTCTGAATGCACTAAGGAAAGGGAAAATTATGCAAATATTAAAAATTTTTTCAAAATCTGGTACTGAAAAGCTAAAGGGATACAGGGATACTGAAAAGCTAAAAGGATCATTAAGATACAGTAAATAGAAACATAATTAATAAAAAATGTTACACTGATTTTCAAGCATTTCTAATACTGAAAATTTTTTATAAATATACTTGATTGTATAATTTATGTCCTATAGACAGAACACACCTTTCAAATTTTTTATATCCAACTGAAGATATTACATAGTTTTTTATTACTTTAGGTTTGTTGAAGCTTCTTTCACAACAAGCAACAGCTATTTGCAATGCTATTTTTAATGCAGCTTTAAAATAATTTTAATGCAACTTTAAAATTCGGATCAGTTAAAGTAAACTTTATCCGTGAGTTAGCTTTGAAATAGCTAACCTTGCACTTGCTTTGACATATAGAATTTTTTGGAATAGCATGGTTTTTAAATTAGATAGCTCTATTGAAATTTCTGCAGCACTAATATAATTCGGACATTTAAGTTCTAAGTTATATATAGCTTCTTTTAATTTACCTATACCGAATAACATCTTTTAATTTACTTGTACATGAACATTAATTTTTCAATAACAGAATAACATTAATTTTTCATAAGTTGGAAACTGGAAATCGAAAGCGAACTCATTTATTTTTTATATTTATATTTCAGCTGAGATTAAAATATCTATCGGAAATAAAGTTTCCTATCTCAAATGTGATATTTTAAAATGGTGGTTTTTGGATATGTTTCCAAAATTGAATGTTATAAATCATAATTCAATTTTCAAACGAATTTCTAATTCTTCATAATTTTATTTAACGCCTTTTCTAGTTGTTCACCTGAGGCAAGCGGCTCACTTGCCTCACCCTTGGACTGACTCTACTAAAGACATTTAGATTTTAAATTATCAGAGTTTATCTATATGCAAAAGATAGCAGGATTACTTACTGGGTGATTTTTTAATATAAAGTTTAACTACATTATTAACTTAACATTATTAATTTCTATTATGCTTGCATTGATTTTTTTAGTCTTTTAAGTAACTACTTGCTCTTTTTTTTTTTTTTTTGGTTAGGATTACTCAAAACACATTAACCTTATTAGTAGAATACTTTTAATTAAATGTAGGCAGGTTTTTTGAGAATTGTAGCAATTTTTACTTCAATATACACTCTGTATTCTGAAGAAGTTGCATAGATTTTAAAGGAAACAGAATAAATTTCCTTAAAAATGTCTGTATTCAGTGAATTAAAAGTTCTGATAAAATGTATGTGAATAATAATAAATCTTAAAAACATAATCTTCATAAACCTTTGAACTGTCAAAACAAATTATGAAATAAGTATTCTGAACTTATTAGCCTGCTATTTTAATTTTACATTACAAGATCACTGAGATGGGAGGAATTCAGGGATCTTTCACAGAAACAAACTTGTTTTTATTAATGCAGATTAAGAACTTAATTCATAAGATTGACATTTCTGGAAACAGAGAATTCAAAAAAGTCAATTTTTACCAAAAAATTTCAAAATATTTATTTTTAAATTTGAAATCTTAAAGATATTTCCTTTTTCTCGAAATGAAATTTTTTACTTTTTACTGAAGCTTGATTTGCTTTAGTTTAAGACATATTTACTTGGAAGATTAAATAAAAACTAAAGTGTCCAGCAGTAAAGTCACTGAACACTGGTAGTTCAATCTGGGTTTGATTTCAGGCAAACAGGCTGGCTGCATGTGCGTTTGCATGGTTTCCACCATGTAGAACAACGATTCGAGCCAGTCCATGAGGGCACGCTTAGAAAGTCCTCCATGAGGGCACGGTTACCCATTGGCAGATAGTCCTTGAGTACTTTACCATAATCAAACAAACCAACCAAAACAAAAGTAATTGCAGGCATTAGAAATTTCTGAAAACCAGTTACTCTTTTTATTTTTATTCCATTTTGTTTCTAAAGCTTTCAGATCATAAATAACGTCATAATATACCAGTGATGTTCTAAACACAATACTTTAGATATAGGAGGGTTGGAACTTTAATAGTGGCAACTATTTATTTACAAGGAATACAAAAGTGATTCATGTCACCATGTTTTTACAGTCCTTCAATATAGTCGCCAGCACTGTGTACAACCTGTTTCCAACGATGTGGAAGTCGCAGAATACCTGTAGCAGCGCCTATTTTGCTGATAGTTTGAATCGACCGGTCTACTGCCGCAAGAAACTTAGGAACAGTTTGGAAGCGAGTGCCATGAAGTGGTTCCTTCATCTTAGGAATTAAGTCATAGTCACAAGGGCTTAGATTCTTTGGTTTTGTTGCGTAGCGTTTTTTCAGCTGCGTTGCCACTATTAAAGTTCCAACCCTCGTATCTGCAAAAGTGAAAAACTGAAGTTAAGTTATAAACATTATATAATTTTAGACGTATTAGGATTGTGCAATTACTTTCGTATGCTACAAAAACTGATTTTTAGTTACACATTGGTTTGAAAGTATGCTAGGAAAATCAGTATAACTTACACTGAAAATAACCACTTAATGATTGTTTTGTGATGTTTTATCAAGATCATTAGTATAAATATGCATGCATGCTCTAGATAGATTTATTTACAAAATAAGGTGAATGAGTGTCATCTGTGCGAGATGGTTTTTTAAAAATTTTTTTATTACATTCAAGAAATTGGGCATTCGAAGTGTCTATATCAATTTCAGATCAGAGGCAAAAGCTGCAAACGGCTTATTCTAATGCCCTGTATTATACATTATTCCTCTGATAAGCTGGAATCAGAATTCAGCAGAATATCAGCCAGGCCAAACTATTTGCAGTAAAACAACCAGCTACTTCACTGACAATACAGACTCCTAGGATGAAGTAACACAGTTAGTCACTGCGATAAACAGCCAAGTATTGTTCTGGTTTTAGCAGCTAAAACCAGAGCTTAACAGAATACTAGCTGTAATACTATTCTAACAGAATACTCACTGTAATATTATTCTCACATAATATTAGCTGTAATACTACGTGGATTTTGGATATTAAATTTAGTTACCACAAAACTTTTCTTTACACCTGTTTTATTCAGCAAAACTCATATTAAAAATTCAAAGTTGCCTCATTGTTTCAAAATAATGCAATAATACTTGAACAATTTGTTAATTAAATAACTAATTCATCTGAAAAATAATTACATAAAAATCAATAATAACATAGAATGTTCTAAATTAAGTATTTGAGTAAATGGAAATAATATTAAAAGAATGTCACATCTTAATTCTTTGTTTACTTTCTGATGGCACATAAATTAAATGACTAAAATAGTACTAAAAAATTCATGTATTTCAAAGTTATTTAGTTTAACGTTCTTCTTTCATTATAGAACTAAGATACAAAATAAAATATAAAATATTTTTCATATGATACTATAAATACACTGTTCAATGTATTTCGAATGTTTCAATTCAAGATTTTACTAAATGGATATAAAAAGTAATTTTTTAAAATGCTAACAAAATTTCAAATTATTAAAACTTTGATCTCATAATGACTGTTTTTTTTTCCATTAAAATTCTGATACACAAAAAATTTTAAATCCTCAGCAATAATTAAATTATTAGAAAAACATAAAATACATTTCAAATGCTTTAAATTCATAGCTGAACTCCAGAAGGAATAATAAATACATAAAAAAATTAATTTTAGTCTGTGAAACAAATTCCAGAACCAAAATTACACATCAGTTTTTAGGCATAAGTGTCATATGAAAATATAAAAATTACACTTCCAGATCATCCAACTGGCCACCTTCTCTCCTGTTAGCAAGATGAGCTTTGATTATCTCACTATATTTTGGTCGTTTCAATAAATCATAAGCTAATGGCAAGAGATTTAAAATGTGTGAATGGAAATATGGATGACCAAAGCAAAATAAGTCAATGCCTAGTTCCAGTCCCATGCCATAATCACACTCATCATTGGCAAAATGCACATTTGTGATTAGTTCATCTAAACTTTCTTCTCTTTCCAATCGTTTTGCATCACTCTCAGCATCCACTATTTTCTTCAGCATAGATTTTAAATTTGCTTTAAGAAAAAAGAATAAATACATAAATTAAATGAATAATTCTTATATCATATTTTGCTAAAAAGTAACTTATTACCAAAATTTCAAATAGACATATATAGAATATTCTAATGCTAGGGTTGCAGACTTGTAGAGGGATAGAGCACTTGAAATTATACAGCAGTGGTTGGAAATGACATGTGCATGCAATTGTGCACATAGAAAATACCAGAAATGAAAGGAAACCATATAAGTGAATACGCATTTTATTAATAAATGTATATTTGCAAAAACTGAGGTCAAAGAAGGTGACTAAACTGTTCTTCGTGAGTTGTTGCAAGACTTACATCTTCAGCAGATGGAATTCCAAATATTCTTGAAGATTCCAAGGATGTCTCAGACATTCCTAGTAGCTACTGCAATGCGTGCAAGCAGTTCTATATCAGAATCATATGCCAGTGTTTTTATATGCCCCCAAAAGAACTTATCAAGGGATAATAGATCCAATGACTGAGTAAACCAATGTACCAAGCCACAGTTGACCAAATCTAATGCTTAAATGGTAACAGATGTTATGGACAATGACCTCATTGTGCCGGAACCACAATAAAGGTCACAGTGACGCAGGAAGTTGTCATTCAAACATTTTGGTAATATATGCTCCAGAAATATCAAGCAACTGTTACTAATGAGATGAAAAGGCAACATGCAAAATCTGATGATGTAATCTTCCATAATGCCAGCCTGAACATTTACCTCAAAACAGCTGTATTCTGGTTAACTTCTTATCACATGAAGGTTTCATGTTGCACTTTGAAAGTTCCTTCCCTTGTGAATATCACAAAACAATACAGAAGCAGGAAAAAGAAGATCTGTAACCTACTACCGCAGAAACCATTGTGCAAAAGGAATCAAAGGTGCATAATTACCCAGTCTGTGCATGTTTATAATGCAGTTTATCCAATTTGTCGTGCAACATATCATATCATCCAGCTTAGTACAGCATATCCAGAACTGCCTAGGTATGTTGTATGATAACGGATACATTTTGCTTTCTCTTAGAATCCTCTGGACGCTTTAGTGGTAAGCCCTAACATTATGCATTATAGTGTGACTTAGAGTATCTTGTACATAATGTAGCACAGCTTCCTCAATGTCTGGAGTTCACACCAATCATTCCCAAATTGTTTCAACTTCCTGGTAGGAATCTGCTTCAGCTAACCTCTAGTGGGAGCATGCAAAGAGTTCATAGCTAGGAATATACCTACATTGGATAACTGCAGTGTTATTCGCCCGCCACATATACCAGAAAAGGCAAAAACTGCCTCTTTAATGTGATCAGATGAGAACCATTCATTCATTGAAGTGAATCAGTTCTCTTTTATGACTCACTATTCATTAACAATAAACTTGATGAAAAACACCAGCAATGAGGCCAGAAAAGCAGAAAGAATTGATCGAGCAGTGTGATCGGGAAAGGTTAACCAGGTTGGACAGAGCAAAAAGAACAAAATGAGTGGTGGGATCAGACGAATCAACTCAATTAAACGCTAGCTCCCAAAAGAGGTTTATTTCAACTTTAATTTTAAGATTCTATAAAACCTCCTTTCTATATGAAACAAATAATAAAATTCTAGAAATATTCCCCCCCCCTTAATGTTGGAAAATGATAAAAATTAAACTCACTTTTAACAGAGAATAAACATTGAAAAAGTTATGAAATAAAAAAGTTATTTCTTTTTAAGAAATGGTACCTAAATAAGAATACACACTTTGAAATTACGTAGTTTTTTTAATAAGGTAGATAGTTGAGGAAGCAACTGACCATGTAATATGCATATTATAGATTTGAATATGATATACCACATTTATTTTAAAATCAGATTCTTCTCACATTTTAGGATAAATTTTAAGAAATAAAAATGTAGATGAATGCTTATTTTCTTTCTGGGAAATCAGAAGCTTACTAATTACCTCTGTAGTTTTATTTATTACTTAAAAAGGAAATTATTCTACATAGCATGATGATGTTGCCTTCTGATTTTGTAATTTCCTTTATCAAAACCTTTATAAAGAAAGGATATATACAGATTTATTTATTAATTTTTTTAACTGACACTACTCAGTGCCACCTGCAGCTTGATCTACCAAATTGAAATGCCACCAAATTTGGTATCAAGAGTTTAATGAAGATGTGGAAAAAAAAGATTTTGTGAAAAAAAAAAAATTAATTCCAAAAGTTGCTGATAGGAGAAAATGTTGCACCACTGTAGTCTACACAGCTCAGAATTACAAAAATAAATAACAAAAAAGAAATTTCAGAGCTACACCACTTCAGTGAAGCAAATGAACTGCTCCAAAAGGTTACAGAGATGGTATTTCAGTGCAACATAGCACTTTATTCAATAAAAGCACTTTTTTTTGGTAAGGGCTTAGAGTTTTTTCAATGAGATCCACCTTATGGACCACACATTATGTCTCGTGGACAACAATCTCAATGGCTGAAAGTAACATGCCACTAGAAATTCTCAGCACAGCCCATGATATTTTGTCCTTTAAGGTTGGACCCAACCAAGATAAGACTTCAAATAATCCTGTAGGAAAAAGTAACTTGGCATAAGATCTGAGAAGAGAGGCAAACATGCAAGTGGGAAAAAGGGACTTGATGATCCTTTCTTTAGAGTGATGATACAACATCCACTGTAAATACCGATCAATGTGCGATGGTGCTCCATCCTAAATAAATGTTACGTGATCCAGCAAATGCCTCTGCTGAAGTTCTGGAATGACAAAACTAGTCAGCATATCAAACTAGCGCAATTCCTGGAAGAAACACCATAGCATTTACATGTTTAAAATTTAAATTTTAAGCAGGTGCGGCACTTCTACCAATGTGGCTCTTAGATGCACTTAAAAAGTATTTCCTAAAATGTCATTTAACATAATGTGACTATCCTCAGTTTTGATGGAACATCTGTTTTAAATTAGATGACTACATGTTCTTAAGAGAACTATTCACCAGATAATTAAGAAAGGAAGTGCATAAAGGACACCTCCTTGTGCAGTTTCCTTCCTGTAATACCAATGTTCGCTAAATGATCGTCAACAGAAGAAACTCCTGTGTGGTTCTCTTGCTAAATTAACGTAAAAGGGAAGGCAGAGGTTTTTTTTATGTGAGAATTATGCTTAGAGGGGCTGTAGATTAAGTTGCACCAAATGGCTGTTCAGAGCCACATCAAGCGGAAATTCTGTATGTTATGGCTGTACCGCAATGATATTTTATTTTTTATTTAATCCAGAAGTTTTGTTAAGTTTAAAAATAAATATTTAAAAGACCTCTGGTTAGATTATTTATCCATCTCAGATGTGCTTATGCTACAATAGTTTGAATGACTTTGTTGCTGTTCCTACATAAAAGACCACTCAGTTGCTTTCTGTGAATTTTATTTTGTTTACATTCTTTTCCTTGAATGGACCTATGCGCCTCATTCCCCCTAAATGGGATCTTGGAACTTCCCTCTTTCAAATTAGCATTCTCATCAGTTTGAATAATCCCTCTTGTTTGCCATTTGATGAATCTTCCAGGACCCATCATCTCCCCTCCACTGCCTTTTCCATTGCAAATGTACTGTTTTTTTTTTTTTTTTTTATATATATATATATATATATATATATATATATATATATATATTATAACTGATGTATTTCCTTCAGCATGAATCGATTCTTCTTGCATTCTGCCAGTTTTGGTGCAAATACTTGTTGGACAGTTTTTAAGTAAGAAGGAAGCAGGAAATTTTTTAAAATGGCACCTAAGTGGCACTGAAGCTATACTGCTGGTTTCCCATGCTGAACAAATTGGAAATAAAACAGCAGCTCAAGAATTTGAAGTGGACGAGAGATGCACTCGACAGTGGAGAACTGAAAAAGAGTTTAATGCCACAACAGAAATGAGCCAAAAGAAGTGGCACTGTAAGGTGGCCAAATCTAGGGGACAATCCTACGATTTTATACACCAATTAAGAGATTTTCCTGGGCAGCTGCCCTTTAGACATCTTTAACATATCAGCTTAAAAGATGCAACCCTTAAGTAAAAAAGCCACTATTCTTCTAGAAGTTTTTCTGACAAATATCTAATACCAAGCAATGGCAGCTATATTTTTATAATTAGGAGTTATATAACTATTTAATAAATAATTATTTGAACTTTTAAGCTTTTATGTTTTATTGGATGAAATTTTAAATCTAAATTTTTTTTCCCTTGTAAAATTTTTTATTGTAAATGCGTTTTTTTACGAATATATTTGATTTTTTAGGTATTTTTGACATATTACAATTATTATTTCAAAATATTCAAGTTGTTTACAGAATTTTTTACAGGAATCAGAATTGTGTTGGGTTACTTTCACAGTCTGCTTGAGACTTGAAATGATTTGACCTAATTTAGATATTCTCTTAAATTGAATTTTCACTTAACTAGACTGAGAAGACAAAACATGATTCAGATTTCCTTAATTGTTAATTATATTGAAAAAAGCTAATACCCACTGAAAAATCAGCCTTTTTCATGGAATCAGCAATAATTAATTGAATATTTTTATACTGTATCTTTTACTGACCATTATCTTCAATGCATAACACTAGACTTTAATCTGCTTTTTCCAAGATGATAATCTCTCCTATATATACACTCTTCTGGAAAAAAAAAAAAAAAAAAAAAAAAAAAAAAATTGAAGCACCAAGAAGGACTTTTGTAATCGTGATGATATTTGGTATGCAAAAACATCTTTATCGAATATGCAAATGATCAAAGTTTCAAGGCAAATGAAAAGGAATTACGATCACAGTGCGCATTTCTAGTGCGCAATTCACAAGGTATAAAACCAGTAACAGAGGCGGAAAATTTAAGTTTTTTTTGTTGCTGCCATTGTAGTTCCATAAAGAAGCAACGAAAGATGTCATTATGACAATATCGAAGGCCTTACAGACAACTAAACAACTTCGAAGGCGGTCGCATTGCAGGATTGCATGAAGCTGGGAGGTCATACTGATCAACTGGCACCACCTACAGCGTACAGACGTTGTTGTACAAAGATGTTGGCAGCAGTGGTTGCTACAAGTAAATTGCCGACAAAATAAAGGCTCTGGAAGGCCAAGAAACAAAAATGCAAGGCAAGACAGGATGATTGTTTGCAAGGCCTGAACCACCCCAATGGTATCATTGTCGACTATTCAACGCACTAGAGCCACAGAGACCTTTAAGACGTTTGCCTTTGACAACACAACATCAGCGGAGTCGTCTGGAGTGGTGTTGCAGCCAATCATCATGGCTGCCATTCGACTGGCATCGTATAGTGTTTAGCGATGAATCCCGCTTCACTCTTGTAGCAGATGACAACTGTGCTCGTGTCTGGAGAAGACGGGGCCAGCGGTCCCAATCAGCCTTTGTTTTACAAAGGCATACAGCCATAACCCCTGGTATGATGGAGTGGGACACTATTTCTTATGACAGCAGGTCATCTTTAGTCATCCTCTGTACATCTTTAACAGCTCAACGATATGTTGATACCATCCTGGGGTCGGTTGCATTACCCTTCATGGTATGCCATCCTGGGGCCATTTTCTAACAAGATAATGCCAGGCCACATACCGCTTGCATATCTTTGGACTGTCTCTGTGCAGTTGATACTCTACCTTTCCTGGTCTGGTGAGCAAGGTCCCCAGACCTTTCACCAATCGATCACGTCTGGGGCATGGTAGGCCGCCAGATTCAGGCACCACAAAATATTGCAGATCTGAAGCGACAACTGATGAATGCCTGGCAGAATGTGTCACAGGATGACATTATGAACCTATATCACTCCTTGCCTCGATGAATTCAAGCATGCATTGCCACCAGGGGCGGTTCGACCAACTACTAATTTGTACACTCATTGGGTGATTGTGAGCCGTGAACAGATACTATGACCTTGATTTTTTAATCATTTTATTACTTGTGTATGAACTATGCGCATATTCAATTTCATCAAAAACAACCACTTCTTTCATGGAACTTCGATTTTTTTGCATGCTTTACGCATGCGCATTTGATTTTTCCTTCCATAATAAAACATGTGGAGATTTTCACTTCAAAATTCCCATTCATAATTTCACTTAGGCACTAAATAAAATAACTTGTTATGGAAAAACAATCATGTAAGCATAAATTTGTGAGATTAATAATTTGGATCTGTAGCTGTATCTGCTTGGCATACATCTCAAACCGAAACACTCACCTATTTTATATCCATGATGTCGACCTGGCAAGTCATTATTTATTATATTTTGCTTTTACCACTGCATGTTTATCAATACATGACAGCTTCAGTAATAACTTATGCAATAATATTTAAACTTTTTTTATATTAGTAATTGAATAACAAGAGTATGGCAACCTTTTATGCTAACATTACGCTTGGCGATTGATTATAGATTTTTTAAATGCTTTAATAAATGTTGACAAGGCAAAAATTCAACAAAAATTTCTTTTCATATTCTAAAAATAGATTTTGTTAATGAAACTCATAGGCCAAAAGATTACATTTAGTGCTATTTTAATTAAGAATAACTGATATGTTATTCACCATAAACCCAGAAGCAGCAGCAGAATATGTCGGCAGGACGACAGAATTTAGGAAGATGAAATTTTTGGAATTTGGGAAGCACCGAGCAGGAAAATTAAGGGATGAGAGTTTTTATGATTAGGGAAAGATTGGGATCCAAAGTTTAGGCACGGTGAAAATTTAGAACTTAGGAAAGTGCTTTGTAGCAGAATTTAGGACCCATAGAGACTGCACCAAGCGGTATCGAGCGCCGGCCCTAGATAAAGCTTTAAGTATATGTGGGAGTTTATCTATTCAAGACTTTGATTAGTTTGAAGCATGTGCAAGAAATAAACGTAGGTATAGTAAATAAGTAAACTAATACAATTCAGGCTTAATTCAGTACACAATAGGAGCAAGACAAAATTTAGCGAAACAACTTGGCTTTCCTCGCCAATCTTGTGATACACAGCCAATAATGTATAACAGACTGCACTGCTCCATGATCTTCTAATTTGATCCAGCTTATTATTTTTTGCAGACTGTTATTACTACGGGAATTTTATAAAAACTAAGCTTGGAACTTTTGATTATGTCGAAAAGAGTTTCCAATTCTGGAGTTACCAAAGGATCTACAAAGCGAGACCATGTTTTGTTGTCCATTACACAAAAAGTGGAATTGCTGCAAAAAATGGATAAAGGCATATACGTCTCAAAATTATGCAAGGTGTATGGCATTGGAAAGTCAACTGTATACGACACAAGAAAAAAGAAAAAGGAACTTTTTGAATTTTTATGGAAGCATCTTAAACAACTTACATTTAAAGAAATGTTTAATAAATTCCTTTCAATAATGTAAATTTTGATACTCTTTAGATCATAATTGTTCTTTATTTCATAAATTACGATTTCATATTTTTAATCGTATAATTTCTGCATGCCATCTTACCAGATTTAAATTGATGATCTATTATCCGGAAAAATCCCAAATCTGGAATCGCCGAAGTTCCGACCAGTCCGGATTCCAGATTTTATACTGTATGTATGTATATGTGTGCATGCACACATACATATACAGGACAATTTATGAAAAATAGGAATATTAATTTCAAGTAAATGCAGTATAAATAAATCATAATATATATTGTCTAAGTATACATAACAGAATGATATCTAAGCACAACAGATTGTACTTAAAAAGGCTGATGAAAAAGTTTTGAAACTACCCCTATTTCTCTTCCCCATATTAGATGGAGCCTATACAGAGTTTTTTAAGTGTTATGAAATGAATATGTTTGAACTTGCAGTTGCACATTTACTGATTTCAAGTACTTAGTATGGTTACTGATTTCTGTACTTGGTCACTTAAGTGAAAGTGTAGTAGTACACTTAAGAAGTATTTTCTCATGGAAAATAATAATAATAATAATAAAGACATCATTATGAGTATACTGAATACATCTTTTGACTATTTTGTGTTAAACTTGAGAACAGCCATAATGAAACATTTGAAATGTGACTGTCTCTATTTGTGATTGTATATGTATCCATAACTGGTGCTAAATTATGCTGTTTGGTGACAGTTTTACAGTCGACAAGCTAATATGTAAATACACAAATCAAAGCTGAACTACTAAAAGAATATACAAGATAAATACTACTAAACTATTACAAAAGAGTCAGGCTTTTCCTATATATATTTTAGCTATGTATATTGCAATGTAGTATGTATTGATAATTTTGTATAATGATGTTCCTTAAGTTCTGAGCATATATCTGCATATTATTATTATTTAATTTTCTCAAAGATTGAAAATAAAACAAAGAATATAAACTGAATATTCTATAAAATGTGACTTAGAACATTATTAATGAATACCTATCAAATTTTTGCTAAAACTAGTTTTCAGTTACACTGAGATGATTTATGATACATATTTCACATAATTTTTTTCCCCATTCACATATTTTGAAGATTATATATATATGAGTGCTATCAGAACTTACCATTGCTGTCAGGTAGAGGTCTATATCCAATATCATTTTTAAAGGGCACCACTATACCTAGACCATGGAAAGATTTAGTTACAACTTTTTTATCTCTTGCTTTAGTTTTTGCTGTCTTCACTTCCAATGAATATCTTTTCTCTTTGGCAAACTTTTGAAGATTTTCTTGAATTTTAGAAAATTTCTCTTTCATTTTCTTTGGCTTCACTTTTTTTATTCCTTTTATTAATTCAGCACTGTAGAATTCAGATAAAATAAATATCATTAAAGAATATAAAAAATTTGTAAAACACATGTTAAAATATACACATTAACATTACAAACTACTGAACCACTGAAGCAATCTGCCCCACTGCTAGAGAATAAAATTGAAGCAGGAAAGTACTAAAACCAAAACAGACAATTAAGACTTCATTGAGATTTTTCTGTTTATCTTCCTACACCTTTTAAATGCTGCCCAGCTGGTATAATAGTTAGTGACGCTGACTGCAGTACCAAAGGGCGTCGGTTCGAATCCCAGAAAAGGCATGGGTGTTTGTAAGCATACAGCGTCTGTGCTGAAAGAGAAGCATTCAAAATACATGGCGAACTAAAAGTCAAGATATTGGCAGTAGGCAAAGATGGGTTGGAGATCTGATCTCCTAGGATGTTCTCTAACAAAACTGGAGCAGACTGCATAGTTAATGTGGCGAGACTATACAGTAAAACTAACGCTGAAGTTCCTGTATCCTGACATTTCTAACTTTACTTACCTGTACCTTTGCACATTTTAAACGTACATTATATTAGTGGCAAATGACTTCAATAATAAATTTCACAAATCTTTCCTTCCCATTACTCAATCAAGATACTGTTTCTGAAATGGCAGTTCAAAAATATATATTGAAGCCTTTATTAATACAATCTTATTGAAAAGAAATATCAAAGATAGTTAGTCTATGATTTTCAAGAGTTTTTACAATACATGCATTGCAAAGATGATCTACTAACTTCAGTAATAAAACTTTCCAATAATTTCAAAATTAATTTTGTTAAGTAAGATAACTTTTTATTATGCTGTGAAATCTCATTACACTCAGATGGGAAAAAAGTTCTTTTATCCACCAAGAATTTACAAATACATCTTCACTAAGTATTAAAGCTCATTTTTTCAGTTCTATAACACAGATAATGCTTCATGATTTTTTGATTAAACAAATATAGACACAACAGTAGCTCAAGTCAGAAAATTATGCCAATTGAATAAAATGTGTTAACACTGAACATTTATACACATACTTTAAATATTCCCCAAATACTTTACACAACATTTCCATAACATATGCTCATGCAAATACATATAAAAAATAATAAAAAATAAATAAATAAAGGCAAAATACTTCAGGGGAAAAACAGTAATAGTGCAGTTTGAAACTGAGTTTTTAGAGCAAAGCTTATAAATCATCATCACTGAAACTACTGAAATCAACATATCATATACATTAAAGCATCGAAAAAATAAACTGAGAAGTACGGATGAGTTCTCTTCAATACCAAAAACTGCTCAATAAAATTGCATCATGAGAATTAACAATTTTTATCTCACAGTCCAAATATTTCTAAAATTTTATTTAAATTAAATTGTAATCCTTTCTTTAAAAAATAATACATGATATAAATCATAATAGATAAAGATAAGATAATAATATATATTATAAAACAGATAAGATACATAGCAGAGATAATATATAATAAAGATAAGATCTAATATATATTGTAAAACATAATATGTGACTATATGTTTCATTAGCCACTAACTAATGCTAATTTAGAAACATATCCAGGAATTCTCAAAATATACTTTTTTTTTATAAAAACTTCTGCATTAAGATATTAAATAAACTATGTATAAAATACTTTAATATAAAACATATTTATTAAGAATGATCCTTACACCATCCAATTTATATTACTAATTGATAATGATGTTTTACACTTCTGTCTCTAGGATGCAAACTTTTAAGTCATTTTAACAATTAGATAATACTAGATAATTAAAAATTTATCAGCAGTTTTTCATATTAAAAATTAAAATACATAATCTAAGTTTAAAATCAACTTAATTATAAAAGAATATACCCTCAAATTAAATTACCCTCTTCTAAAAAAATTTATATAAAACTTCTAAAAACCTTCTAGACTTCTAAACACTATATAAAACGTCTAAACACTTTTTTTAATATCTACTTTATTATAGAAATACCAAATATCAGAATTTGATTAAAAAGCTTATTCTACATTTGAAAATAAAAAAAACTACAAATGAATATTAAAATACTTAATTAGCTTAAGATATGTAAGAACTGCATGCGAGGTTTAAAAAATGAAAAATTCAGCTGCATTATTTGCATTTGCCAAAGACGCATTACGACATAAAAACTAGTATTTTTTCATTGTCAGGAGCTAGAACAGTGTTTATTAAATTTTCAAATTAAAAAATTATTAAGTAGTTAAAAAATCTGAATTAATATACATAAAAATAGTCTACATTTCTTTCTGCATTCAAATATCATTACAAAATGAATATACATTTCAAACATTTAAACTTAAAAACAATATATCATCATTGATGTTTTGCAGGGAATTTATTTTTTTACCATGATGTTGTAAAGCTGAAAAATGATGGCACAGCTTTATTTTCTATCATGATGTTTTCTTCTTGCTTTTTTTCCTATGACAATGTTTCATAGTATGATGTTTTCCCTTCATGCCGTTTTCTTCGCAACATTTACCTCCCTGATGTTTTTACCTCAATTTTTGCATTGGTAATCAATGAAATTTGCCCATACAGAATCTACTGTAACAATGCAGCAACACTTTTGAACTAAATGCAATATGTGTGCATTCTATAAAACTGTATTCCTCAGTAGATGAAGCAGATTGATTTTACTGACCCTCAGTACCCCCAAAAAGAACAGGGCAATTAGAGACATCAGATTAGATAGTAAATGGAATAAAGACCTTATTTGAATGAACTGATGAAAATCTGAATGAACTCAACAAGATGAGATGGTAAAGAAGCGCAAGTATCACAGCCCATAATACGGGATAGCTTATAAAAGCAGCACTGTTATGTTAAGTTAAACTAGCTTGTATACACACTACACATGAGGAAAACCACAAAAATGTCCATGCAACCAGTCGTTCCCCAAGATTTGAACCACGGACTGAACTACCAGTATTTACCACTCGGGTGCTGGTGGCTGACTCACTGAAAGACTAGTGTTCAATGATGAAGCTATTTTCAATCTGAATGGAAATGCCAATTTTCATAATATGAAGGTACAGGACAGAATGCCTACACATTATCATTAAGCATAGAAGGAATTCATCTAATTATTATTATGATTTTGAAAACACTGTCTATTGTTCCTTCGTTTTTCCTGAATTTACTTCTGCTGATGACTCCTACATATACAAGATAACATAGTAGCTTATGCCTCCCTAATGTAATATTTCCAGTTTCAAACAAGCCACTCTGATGCTTTCAGAAAGGCAAGAAAAATTATTAATAAAACTTTAAAAAAAAAATCTGAAAGCTTTCAGATTTTACATTAAACCCAAAGGGACTTTTTTTTAACGTTTTGAGTGTTACCTTTATTTATTAAACATCATGTTCTTCATACTTAAACCATAAAATTCAATTCAACAGCAATATCACAAAATAATTTTGAAATGAGCTTATATTCAGAATTTATGATACACAGTCTCGTGCACTGGAGATAAATTTTTTTTTTTCCCGTACAGTGTTGTCATTGCTCGCTTTGAAATCGTTGAGTTTGTTATCAAAAACTCATTAAAGTGTTACAAAACATGAAATCAATAATTAAACAAATTCCAAATTAGGGCTTCCAGATGCCCACATTCTGTGGAAGATTATGTTATTCAAAATTTGATGGCTCTAGATATCATTATTTTATCACAATATATATAGATTTATGCAGATTCTTCATTATTTAATTTCTTTAAATATAACACAGGGCCATAATATTTAGTGGCAACAATTTGAAAACTGAACCAACATTTATAGTGAACCAACGCAAAATGCGAAAACGAAATTAATAGCCCTTCTGGGCTAACATGCTTTGGGCTAATAAATCAGTAAAGGTAATATGAATGCTACACGGTATAAGAATTTTGTTCTGTTTAATATTTATTCAGTCAATATGCAAATAAGACACTTTTTTCAATGTGACTATCTTGTACTAAAAGGCAGGTCAAGACCAAATCTGAGTTTACTCATCTTATTATATACAACCTGAAACCCAAATTTTGAATTAAAAGCTTTCAAAATTAAATAATTATAGCTGTCAATAAATATGCAACTAGTGTCTAAATGTTCAATGTACAAAGAAAAATAACAATCAAAATATAATTCATTGTGGTTTGCCTCTTGGATAGGTTAAGGCTTCGTTAAATTATATTTAGTGTAAACAGTGCCATGTTTAAAATTACAATTTTAGATTCTCTTAAAAAGGCTTTGGAATCAAGATCATCATATTCAACATCCTGCAAATTTTTCCCTTTCTTTTGTGAGGCTACATCAAAGTAAAGGGTATTTGCCTTCTATGCCACAAAACCCTGATAAATTAAAGCAATGTATCTCTGAAGCAGTGGAGTCAATTTCTGAAAACACACTGGGATATATTTAAGCAGAATTTTTCTCCTTGTCTTCATGTCTACCATTAAACCAATGGCACTCAATTAAAATACTTGTAATGACAGGATAAGAAACCCAGGTTATATACATATGCGTAAAATATAAAAAAATACAATGGCTTTGCTCTGCGCGAACAAGCAACCTATAATTAACTTTCTGCAATTTTAGGACCTTCCCCTAGACCAGTACTTTCAAGAACATTCTGGCATGTTATATAACAGCTAGTACAAATACAGAGTTTGTGCCATTTTTCATCAGACTGCTTCCTACTATTGCTGCTACAAGACTGTGCTCTGTCCATTACTCTTCCCTTTACTAGAATATTTACAACGTCAAAAGACAAAATTTAACCTTATTTTAATTTAAATCATTATTGGATATGTAATTTGGAGAATTTCATTTAAAGTAAAAATGATCTGGCATTTGAATTGAATAAAGATGTGGAATCAAAACAGCTAACTTCTTTGTCGTCATTGGATGCCACCTTACATTCAGCCACAACAATGCCCGGACTCTGATGTAATTATATCGTCCAGCTTTGACATTCCTGTGCCTATCCGCAAAATCACCGCATATGTATATATTTTTTAAAATTTCATATAGATACTTTTGTGGCATATAATTTCATAAAGAAATAAATAATGTACAGTTTGAGCAACTGTAATATTAAATTAAAAATACTTAAAATTTTTTTAATTGAAAAAAACACGCTAATTCTTAAATGGACAAATAAATACAACAGATATTTGCAATTTACAAATAGATATATGCTTACAGCAACTGCTTTGTAAAGCTTTCAAAACTGGGTTTTTTTAATACAATTATATTTTTCTGAAACTGGTGAACAATAAACTAATAAAATTTGTAAATGGATTCATAAATACGATAGATATTTGCAATATTACAAATAGATATATTCTTGTTAGAACGGCTTCATGAAAATTAAAATACTTACTTCATAGCTGCAAATATATTATCACCAACCAATGTAAGTTTTGCATCCAGTGCAGCATTATTAGCTGCCAAGATAGAGGGAAGTTCAGATGGATCATCTCTGAAAATACAACACATAAATATATATAGAAAAACAAAATTAATTTTGATTTTTACATTTCAATGCATGCACAAAAATAATAGTTTTAACATTTTTAAAATTATTTTTGAAAAGCATTTTAAACCATCAGAAAACTTCATTTCTAAGTAGTACCTAATTACTGAATAAAAATTTGGATAATTAAAAATGGAAAAAATTTTCTAAAAAATATATAAAAATTTTTGCAAGTTACATGAGTGGAAAACACACAATTAAGTACAGGCTGAAAAAATGCATTTATTTAAACATAAAGCATGTTTATTCCACACAAGTTGCCAAAGTTGATCTGGTGTGGCAGCTTGGGATGTTATCTGGGTCAATCATTCAGCAACTATGGACCACATTTTTTCTATCAGCGAAAGATCCGGAGAACGAGCCGGCCAGGGAAACAATTTAATCTGGCGATTGACAAAGAACCCTTGGACAATGCGTGCTACGTGTGGTTGCGCATTATCCCGTTGAAATATGGCTGTGGGCAAGCCCTGAAGGTAAGGAAGGACAACTGGCTCCAACACCTCGGAGATGTAGCGCTGGCTGTTTAAAGTACCGACAATGCATATTAGAGGAGTGCGAGAGTGATAGCCAATACCACCCCATACCATAATACAAGGTGCAGGACCAGTGTGGTGGTGCATAACACAGCTGTTCAGCATCCTCTCTCCGCGGTGTCTCCAGACTCGAATCCGACCATTGCGGTGAACTATTCGTGAATAGTTCACTGCGATGGTCGGATTCTAGTCTGGCTTCTGTCTGCAACACCGACCATCGCGGTGTTGCAGACAGAAGCGTGACTCATCAGTAAAGACAATTTCGTTCCATTCTACCGTGCACATCCTTCTTTCATCGCACCATTGGCGGCGGAGACGTCTGTGGTTCTGCGTCATGGGTAGACGAAGCAATGGACGTCTTGCGCACAGACCACTCTGCTGTAAACGGCGTCGAATGGTACGCGCAGACATTGGATGATGCGTTACAGACTGAACGTGCTGTGCTATGGTTCGTGATGTGATTGAGCAATCTGTAACTGTCGTGCACACAATGTTCCTGTCATCATGTGAAGTGGTGCACTGCGGTGGATGCGATCGAACACGTCGGTCCGTCGTACTCTCCTGCATCCAACGGTCACATATCTGCATTACAGTTATTTGGTTTCGTCCAACACGACTACCGATTTCCCTGAAAGATAATTTACACTCTGGGTAGGCTGTCAAACTCGGATACTTGATGAAAAGATGATCGCTGTTTACTACGAGGCATAATTGATAGTTTTTTTGAAAAACCACAAGAAAAACACAATTGCCGAACTTAAAGTCGTCAAAAACTCCAAGCCTTAAATAGAGCTTTGAAGTTGCACCTCAGGCACGTGTAATGTGTGTCTGAGCTGAAATTCTAATCATTTGCATATCTCACCTTCACTAATGCATGTTGTAAATTTCATGTTATTTGCATGCTTCCTTCAGGGTGTTGCATTTACGGTGGCCAGCAGTGTAATCCCAAAATGAGGGGAGAAAGTTATGTAGTTTTTGGTTTGTTCTAATATTAAAAAAGCCTACTTTTAATGTATGTATAACACAGTACATGCATAAGATATAAAAGTCGCACATGAAAAGATGTGAGGAACATGGAAGCACAATCTTTGCTGAAAGTTTAAATGTCTAATGATGTTTCAGAAAGTTCTAAGTGTACCACAAAAATAGTCTCACCCTGTTGAAATCAGTACCACTGCTATTCTTCAAGAGTTAATTGCAAATAAGTGTTTTTAAAAGCAGCAGGACAAATTTGTTGGAACATATGTTTCTGCCATTATGAAAACATAATGGTCTACTTAAGATAATTTCTAGTTCATATAAGAATGCTTTTTTCGGCAACAATATACCGTAATTACCGGAAGAAAGGCTGCATCAGCGTAAACGCTGCACTCGAGAAAAATGGCGGGAAAAAAATTAAAATTACACAGAAATGCTGCAATAGATTGAATTACGCGTGACATCGTCGTGGGCCGTATAGATGCAAAATCTCAACCTAAGTCCTGATATATGACATACCAGTTAAGAAAAATGCATGAAATGAAACCATAACTCAAAAATAAATTAAAGGTAAGAAATGTGGAAAATATATTTACCTTCACATATATACTTATATTTACCCGCTAAAGAAGTCCATATTTGTAATACTCAGACTATATTATAAAAAATGTTGCAACAACGAAATATTAAATTTGTATGACAAAAGGAAATTTTAAATTTTACTTACAAAAGGAATTACAGCAACCTATACATCATATGAAGGCATCAAAATCTGATTCTTCACTATCTGGATTAAAAAGATTTAGTAAATTCTGATCTAAGTCTTCCAGATCGTCACATTCATCATCTTGGTTTACAGTCTCTTTATCTAAGGATATAATTTCAGCTTTCTTTGAACCCTGCTATTATTGACGATGTTTTTACCGATTTCCACGCATGTCCTACCTACTTTGCAACTTCTTCATAAGATGCTGTACGCATTTTTCCGCTTTTGGTATACGTATGCAATCCTTCACTCATCCAACACTCCCACCACTTTCGGACTTCAGCTTTAAAGGCTTTATTACCTGACAAATCTAATGGTTGTAAGATTCTTGTCAAACCACCAGGAATTATTGCTACAGTCGTAGACAATTTTTGACATCTGGTTTTCACTGACTCAAGTAAATGAGCATGCATGGAATCCATTATCAATAACCCTTTTGGTTGGAAAAAAGATCCCTTACGACACTGCCAAACTTTTTGTAGCCACTCATGCATGATTGTTTCGCACATCCAACTTTTCTCGTTGTACAAATAATTACGCCATTAGAAAAATCTCCCTTCAGAATAGTCTTTCGTTTAAAAATGATCATTGGCTTTAGCTCGTCACCGTTTGCGGCACAAGCTAACACACATGTAAATGACGTTCTTTCATGCCCCGTTGTAGTCCTACTTAATGATTAGTAGTGTGCAATATAGTGCAATATCCTGTATATAGTGTACATATTGTATATATTTTTACTCTTTCTGTATTTGTATTGTACTGTTAATTTGAGACATGGTGCTTTTTCTTCAATTAACTTAGGACGTTCCACTTGCTGTCCATGATCGCGTAATGTCTCGGTCTCCCCCTTTTTTCCACCTCCTCCGCTCCCTCTGGGGTACCACGGGCAGATAGTACCATGTGATGCGGCCATGTGGCAAATTTGATTGAGCCGGAAAAACTGCACACTCTGTGGTAGTCTGGCAATAAATTAAACAGTCAGTCCCCGTCGTAAGCACAGATACAGTTTTGGCACCAGTTTCATCAACAGTTCTGTTTGCAGGAGAGTCGAAAGCTAACGGCGTTTCATTCATATTTATTATCTGTGACCAAAAAAGTTTTTTTTGCCAATAATATCTGTCACATATTTTAAAAAAGATGCCTTTTTATCCTGCCAGTCCATTGGTAATTGTTGCCCGACTCTTGTTCTAGTATGCACAGAAATATTTTTTTCTTTTTATAAATCTGCTACACCTTCTTTGAAATCATTTATGTTCATTTGTTTTGCTATAAATTTTGCTTGTAAGCGAATTTTTACAGTCGAAATTGCCATTCCCTTTCTTCGTTGATCCTTTATCCAGTTTGCAAGGTCGTCCTCTAGATTCGGCCACCTTAAAGTACCACTTCTTTTGGCTCGCTTTTGTTGTGGCATATTTTAAAGTTCTTTTTCAGTTCTCCAACATCGAATACATCTCACGTCCACTTCAAACTCTCGAGCTGTTGCTCGATTTTCAATTTGTTCAGCACGTGAAATTACATTAAGCTTAAAACCAGCAGTATAGCTTCTGTGCCGTTTAGGTGACATTTTCAAAAATTTTCCGCTCCCTTCTTACTTAAAAACTATCCAACAAGTACTTGTACCGAAACTAATGGGATCTATATCTGGCAGAATGGCAAGAAACTAGACCGTCAATCTCGGAACGCCTGCTATTGTTAGCTGGGCGAGTTCAATATACGCAGGTGAGAGGAAAGGTTCCGGAATGGTTTCCAACGAAAATAATAATTAGACCGTGGAATGGCTTTCAGTGGATCCCAGAGAAAAAAGGGATATCCTCACTGACTTATTCCCGAACTGTGGAAGGAGTTTCACTGCTTATTTTTATGCTCTGTTTTATTGAACATTTTGTTTAAGGACGGATTAATTTTTATCAATTTATGAAAAAAAACAAAAAAACAAACAACAAACAAAAAAAAAACTTCGTATGGAAATACATGTTTGCAATGTAAAATTGTATGCTTAAAATTAAAATTTGCTTAAAGGCATAACGTTTTGGCAAAATTACATTATTTGGTTTATTCCAACGAAATTTAATATTTATTAGAACTTGTATTACAGTAAAGTAACAGAGTATTACATGAAGTTACAATACGTAACTGTAAAGTTTTTATTTACTTAAGGTATTGTAGAAAATTGTAACTGTAAATTTTTGATATTTATAACATTTACCTCTAATATGATAATAACAAAACATAATTATTTAACTTTTCTTTTATCTGGTGCACAAAATAATGTGTTTTAGTATGATATATTTTGATGGAGCTTTACAAGACCTTTCTTTATATGAAAAGAGTATTGTATTCACTTGTGAAAGAACAAATTCAGTTTACACAGAAAAAATTTGTTTCATGGAATAAAGTCCAGTTAAAAGGTAAACAATACTTTGTTATACTTAATTAACCAAAATTATTTAACATCAATCCTGTGCACTGCTTTCAGTTGTTGATTTAGATATGTTACAAATTTAGAGTTCACACATTCTGAAAATTAACTGTAAAAGGTCTTTTAATGAGTTAGACCATTCAGTCATTGATAATCAAAAGGTCTTTTAATGAGTTAGACCATTCAGTCATTGATAATCAAAAGGTCTTTTAATGAGTTAGACCATTCAGTCATTGATAATCAAAAGGTC